CATTGTAAATTGTAAATTTGTATATTCTGTAATGCAAAAACAGAACAAAAGAGCAAAGTGTACCGGAGTCAAATTCCTTGTTTGTATGCACGAACTTGGCAATAAGGCTGATTCTGATGTATTTATGCTGCAGTGAATGTGTATATAAAAACTCAAAATGAAAAAGTGCTGGTGTGTGGGGTTACCGACTGTGCGGCTGCAGGTGTGGCCATCACATGCATTAAAATCCCCACACCAGATAATGCCCTATTTCCACTGGCCCATTCCCTTGAAAGTCATCACCTTCTAAGGCTCTCTTATTTTCCCAACATTTGACTGTCCACCCAATCTGCCCTTTCCCCGTTTTTCTTTGTTCACACGTGTCCAAATCATGCCCGTGTTATCCTCCTCAGATACTTCACTATTATTACTCACAATTCTGGTTCACTCACATTATGCCTCATCACCAATGGATTGTCAAGTTCAACAAAGCAAGTCTGTGTTGAGTTTCGCTTTTGCCCGCTTTCCTTCTCGAGGACAGAACCTACTAGAGGACCACCCTCATGAAGTCTGTTTCTAATGGTTTGGTCGGAGACATTCATGTGACCTCCAGTGGCCCAGAGGAGGTCACTTTGTAGAGCTGTTGGTACTCATCCTGTTCCTCCTTGTAGAAAGGAGCAGGTACCTGTAAAACCAGTCTCTGTAAAACTACTAAAAGGGGTAAGAAAAATTAGGATGAAAAATGTCTGTGGCCTCCACCTACAAACCATTTCTATTTTTGGGTTTGTCTCATTATTCCCCCTTTAGTGCACCTGTTGTTTATTTCAATAACACCAAAACAGCTGAAACTGATTAACAACTCCCTGAACTGACCAAATCAATATTCCAGAGGTTTAGCTAACCTAATATTATACTCTGATTAAAAAAGTCAGTCAGTCATCTTCTATAGTGGGTCTCCAGCAGTCTATGGGCGGAAGTAGCTGTTAAGGGTGGGATATACCCGAGACGGGTCGCCAGTCCATCACAGGGCAACACACAAACAACCATGCACACACCTAAGGGCAATTTAGAGAGACAAATTAACCTAACAGGCATGTCTTTGGACTGTGGGAGAAAGCCAGAGTACCCACGCAGGCACAGGGGAGAACATGCAAACTCCATGCAGAAAGAGCCCCGGCCGGGAGTCGAACACAGAACCTTCTGGCTTCCAAGGCAACAGTGCTACCAACTGCGCCATCGTGCACCCCTGAACATTGTGTATTTATATTTGCAATCTTTGAAACTGTTATTTTTATGAGAAATACGTCGAATATTCTATTTTACAAGGAAACATAATTTAAAAATGCAATTCAGTAATTAACTGCATAAATAACTAAATCATAATTTATGACAGGAATTGTCAAAAATCTATTCATATTAAAATCTATTAGCCTACTAATATTAAACATTGCTTTTATTTTGAAAATTTCTACCGGAAGTCCTGCTTTACCACACCTCGGACTTGGTTCATGTCAGTATAATTGGCAAACTGAAGCAGCAACTTTCTCCTCTACTTGGACTCTGTCATGTCGAACAACAGTGCGGCCAACAGCAGCTTGGTCATGGCCCAGAAGGCAGTGAAGCAGCTGCGGCTGGAAGCCAGCGTCCGGCGGTTAAAGGTAAGCGAGTCCCGCTCTGGACCCCACTGTGCGCGTGACTCCTGCTCTGGAGCGCATCTTCAGCGAACTTCGCCGCGCGTGATGCGCGTTATCAATGGGAACATTTAATATCGACGGCACAGAACTTTATGACTTTTTAAAGTCTTTTCTCTATAACAGTAAGTGCTGTCTTAAAACTTAAGTTCAAATAGTCCAGATGTCCTCATATGGAATAAATTGATGTTTAAGTCAATGCAAAGTAGTTGTAAATGAACACAAATACGTTTCCTTCCCCGAGACGAACTTCCCACGTATTCGCTCTAAACTACACCTTTATTACCATTGGAAAGTAATTTGAAAGCGGTATTTATGTGTAATTTCTCGGAAATGGCTGCAGACGGACTTTCCGCTGTGAGTTGAGCACAGTGATGGCTTTGTTGATTGTGCTGCTGTGTGACTGCTGGGACTGTTGGCGGGATACTTATTTTAGAACAGGGGTCAGGCTTGCGTCTAGTATGTCTCCCATGGGAGAGATTAAAAAAAATTGTCTGAAAATGTACAGTCCGAAGAGAAACTATGTAGACTTTTGATTTTTGGCAAGAATAATTCAAATCAAAAAGCAATTTTCAGTTTTGTCTAGCACTTCTGATATCTATCGACACAACTCTTCAGCAAGACTTGTAGGCTTAAAGGTGAAAGAAGAGGTAACGAATCTAGTGTACAGCTTAAAAGAAAGTAAACATCAAAAATGATTAAAACAAATGAAATGGACCCCCAAATAGATTACTGCAAGACCAGGGATGCTGTGTATCCATTTGTGAAAAGCCAACTGCATGAACATCATTATTTAATTGAGAGGTGTAACTGGATTTTTTTCCCCTAATTGTACAATGATAAAAACACAGGTGGGTAATGAAGTGTTAATGTCAGATATGATTTCATCATTGTTTAAAAAACAAACAAACTGCTGATTGAGTATGCACTATAAAAACTGACAGCCCCTTAGTTTCATTGCTTATTTTATCTCTTAAACTCCACTTGTTATAATGAGTTTTTTTTTTAAACACAGAGCGTAAGTTTATGTGTTATTCCAGTGTTTATAGTTGTTAATTGTCCTGACTGTTCTTTAGCTTTTCAGAGTTAAGACCATGCAAATCTGAAAGTTGACTTTACTCATAGTTTTAAGGCAGCTTTTGAACTTTTGTTTCTAAGTTATGAGACATAAAACATATTATTACTATTGTGTGTATTGCAGTTGATGACATCACACCAGGCAGCATAAATTTGACATTTTCAACAATAGCTGGAACTAAATATGATTTCTACAGATATTTACTGATGAGATCTATTTGATTCAGTATTATTATCCACATTATTATCATCCAGTTAGCTGTTTGTACCATGTATGGCTTGTTGTGCATGGTTGACATGTTTAATAAGGTCAACCATGCAAATGGGGAAATATCCTATCTTCTCCCATTTGCAATGCAACCACTCCCACCATGTTGTTTGCCTAAGAGTGCAGAGTGATGAGATGCACATTAATTCATTGTGAAGTGCAAATTAAACGATGTTACTGATTATTTGCAGTGGCAAAAGTTGATCCACTTACTACATTTCAGTACAGTCTCATCACAGACAGTGGTGGAGTCCAAGACTCTGGCTAAAATCTCTCTGAATCTAATTAACAGACCGCTTGCTTGAAATTGTTGACATCTGTAAGAGCATTTTACAACCAACATTGCTTGGCATCAAAATAGCCTCACAATGAAGGAAATGGATGAAAAATATTACACCTGACAGAACTGTTTCAGGATCCTCAAGAACATCAAAGTGGGAGGTTCAGTTGAAGTAAAGAAGAGTTCTGGACCCCAAAAGTGGCCAGTTTGTTCCAGGATCTTCTCCTTGTGAGGATGTTGCTCCAGAAATGTTTCCAGCAGTGCGGTGCCTACTCAGTATTGGCAGCAGGTGGTTGTAAGTGGATCTGCAAGCACAGTGCGTGATAGTGGGAGAGTGTCATGTCAGCTTTTTTGACCAGCAATGGTTGTGTTTTGCATGTGACAACAATCACCTGTGTTCTTCCTATGCTTGGATAAAATTGAAGGGTTACAAGATGGAAGCCTTCCAGAGGAAACAGCTTGGCCTGGCTAAAATCTCAAAAAACCTTTGTAAAAGAGTGTGTCACAGATGTATGATAAAACCAAGGATAAACTTTTGGCATTAATTCTTAAGGGTATATTTCACACTCCAGTAATTCTGGTTGTGGCAGCATCATGCTGTGGGGGGTTGGAGATCTTCTTCTGCTTAAAGTGGGGCTTTAGTCAAGTTGGAAGAAATTATGAACAGTGGTTTTTACCGCAAAAAGACCAAGTGCAGTGAATTAGAAGGTACTTCAACAAAGTATTAGCCTTTGTTTAGGAGTGTGAATACATTTTACAAGGGTATTGCATATATTTTTTTGTTCAGCTGAATTGTACCAGATATACAGACATATCCAGTAAATGAGAATATGTGTCAAATTAGGCTTTTTTGTCAGATTAAAAGTACCTGTTAATAACCTTTAAGCAGGTATTACACATACCTTTGATTAAATCAACATTTCTGTATTACAAATGTGTTTTTTATGGGTCTGATGTAATATTCTAATCTTAAGTCATGTTTTTATCAGCTGGAAGCAGAAAATTATCATAATTAACAGAAATAAATGATCGAAAACACCAGTGTATGTAAAATTAATCTATTGATTGAACTGAGTCACTGAAATAAATGAACATTTCAATAAAATTATTATTTATTGAATATGACTGTACATTCACACATCTCACACATATCACATTAAAGGTGGAAAAAGTGTTGAGATTATTTTAATGGGACTACGTACACTTTAAATGTACTTTAACATGATCATTGCTGTATTCAGCATAGACAGGTTCACACACGCACAACCACTTGTGGGAGTTCTGTACCAGACTGCATAAGTTTTAATTATGCATTCTGACCACCTGAGTTGATACTGATCATCAACAAACAGTCCTCTGTTGTCTTTTCTATATTGTTTAGGTCTCTCAGGCAGCTGCAGAACTGAAGACCTTCTGTTTGCAAAATGCTCACAAAGATCCACTCCTGACTGGGGTACCCTCCAGTGATAACCCATTCAGGCCTCCCAAGTCCTGTGTTCTGCTTTGAGGTGTGTGGTGCTCTTGTCCACAAATGAATCTTATTCATAGTCTTTTTAAAATGTATTTTTTTCTTCCGCATGATACTTACTTGATACTTGGTTCACACCCTTGTTCCCTAGAGGTCTCATTTGAAATTTTATTATCTAAAAAGTCAAATACAAATGAGGCTGCAGACTTAGGACATTTTAATAGTTTTTGTTTTAATGTGACACAGAGATGTTGTCTCTGACAGATATGTAGTCCAGAATGGAAGAATAACCTGAAAGTTTTCATTTGATTACAGCAGCGGATCTTTTGACAGTCCCAAGGGTTTTTTGTCTTTTGAGGCCTCTTTGGGGACACAAGGTGTCATTCTCTATTTCAGAGAATAACATGACTTAAATTACAAATCATTTTTTTATCTGTAGGGCTGTAGAGGAAAGCAAAACAACAAACAAATACCTGTGGATTTTCACAAAGTGTCTCACTGCTGTTGAAGATGAAGAAGATGACCCCACTGCTTGCAGCGGATTATCAGAAGGACATCTTGAAAACAACAAATGTTGCAGTGAAAGAAAATGCCCCAGAATTCTTTACATTTCCAAAGCTTGACAGAATTGGTCTAAAATGAAATATTGAATGATGAGTTTTGCTCCAGCAAGATTCTGAGACATAAAATATATTTCATTATGCTAGCATTTATTTTTTGTTTGAACCTTTATTTTTTAAACATTGTGATTTTAGTAGGAATTAAATTACAGAAACAAATGCTTATTTTCCAAATCAAACTTCCCATCATTTCATTTCACCTGTCCAAAACCATGTTTGGAATGTATTCAGCCAAATGTTTTATAAACTATTCTAAGCTTTACAGATTTGTCATCTAATGTCTGAAATAAGAAAAAAGGTATTTTGATTATTGTTTTTCTGTTCTATATCACCTGCTTTTGATTCCTGCAATTGTGACAACAATCAGCAATGTTTCAGCTGTTTGCCACTGCAAAGGAGGCTGCAACAGCCTTGACACTGAGGCGGAGGTTCACCTCCCAGAAAGAAAGCAACCCTACAGCCAGAGGCACAATGGAATGGTTTAGATCAAAGTCATAGAAAGTATTGACTCAGGGATACTGAATAAAAATGCCCACCACACTTCGGAAAAACCTATATTTTTTTTCCACTTAAGCATTACACTGTTTTGATTATAAAGCTAAATAATATCCCAATCATAGACAGTAAACTCTGGGGTTGTAACATAAAATATGAAAAGGTTCAAGCGGGACAAATATTCATGCAGGGCACTCTGTATAAATACACAAAACTGTAGGTATATGATACACAATACATAGAGATTTATTCTTAATCTCTTGAATTTGTTTTATTCGTATTTATCATTAATTTGAAAGGTTATGATTACAAAGAAATCTTCGACGCGATACCCGTATTTGTGCA